AATAACAAATATATTAAATATTTACCTTTACTAACGGCTTTGCCCTTATTGGCATTACCAGCATTATTATTAGTGACCACTGCTTCACAATTTATAATGAAAAAAAAAAAATCAGATTGTTCCAGTTACTACAAGAAATGGTTATTAAAATTTATAGTAAATGCATTACCAGATCTTGATCCAGAAGCAGCGGCATTTCTAGATTTTTTTTTGGGAAGAGAATTACTAGAGCTAGATGCAGCAGCGGCATTATTAGATTTTTTTGGAGGGGCAGGAGAATTACCAAGCAATTTTACAGGGGAATTTCTTGGCGTTGGGAAATTTTTAGGCGTTGGGGAATTTCTAGGCGTTGGGGAATTACCAGGCGTTGGGGAATTACCAGGTGTTGGGAATTACCAGGCGAAGGGGAATTACCAAGCAATGGGAAATTAATAGGCAATGGGGAATTACCAGGTGATAGGGAATTAATATCGGGTGCACTATCAGGCATCACATTGTATGAGCGTGAAATACACCATTCAGGGTCCTGGGCGGTAGTGAAGCACTGCTGTTGACATTAGCACTTCCCCAATGACGTCTTTTTATTTTGCTTGTGTTTTTTGTTGCAAAACTAATTTCGCATATCATCAAGATTTCTTTTAACTAAAAAAAAAATATGTAGTACTGATATTTATCTAAAAAATTTCAAACATTTAATGCTGAAATAGTTACTTTAGAAGAACGCCATTTTTTATCTACCACTTTAACGACATGGTTGTGCCTGTCTTGTTCTTTTTCAGAAATGTTATAAATTCCTAGTCGATGTTCTTCGTTGGCTGCTTCTTCATCAGTTTCCGAAGGTTCATCACTATGATAGACTCTATCTTTTATTAATTTTTTTAATGTCTCTTAATGCCTGATTTCTTGAAATATCGATAGGAAGAAGGCTAGTAAAATGTTTGTTATCAGTTTCTTGAAGGTGGTAAAACCTCTTCTTTCATCGTTTAACTTTCTATAAATTATATAATTAAAAAATACATAAGGCAGTACCGATATTTATATAAATAAATATATTAATCCTAAAAAAAAGGCTTACAGATTCCATTCTTTCGTTCTCACACATCCTCGCATGATCTTAACTGTTTAACACCGAGTTCTGTTGCTTGAGATATTTTTCTCTTTGGTGTCTGTGCCGTTCCTTTATTATTTTTAAAACATGGTAGTCTTCCACCTGATATCTTGCTACGTCTCGTTTTACTGTTTTAAATGCATCTCGAAGAAACACATCCTTAAAATCAATCCAACGCTTAGATGGGTCAGGTTGATTAAATTGTTCTAACCCAGTTAATAAAATTATAATGTCGTTCTATAATAATAATTTCGAACAAATAGATAGATCATTAATATAAATACCAATATCTATATAGGTAAATTAATTGCCGATATTTATTTAACAACTTAAAAAGTACTATTTATTCATCAAAAATGATACAATAATAAATACTTTTAATATTTTTTTTTGCCCGAAGAGAGTTCATGGCGCCTTTTTGTAACCCTATGCCTGTTACAACCAGTCCTGCTATTTTTGTTGCTGTTGTGATTGTTGTTGCTGTTGTAATTGTTGTTGCTGTTGTTGCTGTCGCTGTTGTTGCTGTCGCTGTTGTCATTATCACTATCACTATCGGTTTCTAGCGAACGGGCCCTTTTTTTATAAGAGTATCAATTTTGTCACCCAGCTTCTTTATTTCATTTTTTAATTCTTTTATCTCATCACCTACAAACCAAAACAAAAAAAAAAAGTCATCTAGTAAAAAAAAAAGTCATCTAGTAAAAAAAAAAAAAAAGTTATCTAGTAAAGAAAAAAAAGTTGTCTAGTAAAAAAAAAAATAAAAAAGCCTCTGTAGATAATAAACTGATATATATATAGAATCACGCCTAACATGCATATGTGCTACAAATATATGTCCAATATGTAACATCATTAATTTATACCTCTTTCGTTCGATTTTTTACTTCTTTTATTTTTGTTTCTTTCGATGGTTACTGATAAACGAGAAACACTTGAGGATAAACGAGAAATACTTGAAGCACGTGAAAGACTCATGTTGAATAGTGCTTAAGTATTTAGAAGTGATATGGTAAGTGCTTATTGATAGAAAAAAAAAAATAGAAACTATTTTTTTTTATTACCTTTGGAAGGAAAGAGAAGAGTGTATTACACAAATGTCACAGCGCGTTTTTATTTTAGTTTCTTATATAGATAGACATGTGCATCAAAACAAAGCACGTACCGTCATCATATGTACTCGTGTATAGGCTTCAGGGTTTTAAATTTTAGGATACAGTCCCTATGAATCAAATATACTGAACTCGGTAAATTATAAGTTTAAAATTCTAAATTGCGATTTTTCCTTGGTGGCATTATATGTTAATTATTTAGATATATGTTGTTCTGGACTTAAAGTATTAAAATATAATATTAAATAGATATCGGAATACTAAAGTTTTCTTTGTTATAAATCATTTTAATCAAATTCTAATAGATCAATAATTATATTATTTTATATATAGAAGATATTTATCTTTATTAGATATTAGATATTTTATTTATAAAACATTTATTAATTCAATCGAATTTGATTTGAAATCAATATCGGGATACTATTACTGATTAACTAGACCAATTGATTTCATTAATTGATTATACTGGTATTATTATTAATAATAAAAATATAAATACAGTTATATTAGCTATAAGCATTTTAATTATAATAGAAATCTTAGATTCTCGAAATAAGTATCGGCATACTACCAAGAGTCTAATATGTCTTCAGACTTATTTTGATATATTCATTGTTGTCATTATTCTATTTTAGTTAAACCTTGTTATATACGTATAAGCATTCTATTACTTATTATGGTTAATTCTTATACGTAAAATATTATTATACTATGTTTATCTTTGATATATCGATATACCAGAGAAATCACATTGTGGTTAATGCTATTTCCTTTTTAGTTTTGATAGACTAATTACCGATATTACTATTTCAGCCTACAAGTAGTAAACATTTGAAATTTATAAAAAATAGATATCGCAAAATTTTTTATATTCAAAGTGAGTTTTTAGCAAAAAGGATTGTATCAATAGATCTGTAATTAAAATACGTATTGTGTGCTTATAAAATAATGCTGTCCAAGGAACGTAAAAAGAAATTTATTAAATTTTGAAAGAGTGCTTTATTGTAAGTATGTAAAATACTCTATTTAGCATACTTGTTTAGCTACAAAAAAATTATAGCAACATAGTAAATAAAAAATATATTCATAAAAAATTTTGTATTTAAAGACTTCTTCTCTGCCTTACCTCCTGATATCTAACATCATAACTCCTAAAAGACTAAAAATGAGTCATCAAGTACATATTAAATTACCTGAATCAAAAAATCGAAAAAAAGTTATTTGTGTATATAAAATATGCAAAGGTGAAAAAGAACTCTGTGATCCTCGAACAAAAGATGCTCATATTGAAAAATATAGAATTTGTGAGAAATTAGTAGGTTCTGAACCTCAAACCAATATTTCTTCTCCTACTGATCCTCATATAGAAAGTAGTGATACATCTCTAACTGATATTCCTAATATAATTAATATTAATCTTATTAATCTTTAAGAAGAACCAATATTTGTAACTAAAAAAGATAAAAAGAAAACAAAAGCTATAATTAGAGAACAACCTGATATTGATATAGTTTTAGAGACTTTAGATATCTCCGATTATGAAGAAATTGCAGAAATAGAACCTGAAAGCAATGATGAGGAGACCATAATAGATTATTCTGCCCCCGATATTGAAAGCAGAGATGAAGAAATATTCGAAGATATTGAAAATCTTGAAGACTTTAGTTGGATATTATTATGGATCTTGAAATACCAACAAAGATATCGGTTGCCTAATACTGCAACAGAATCATTAATTAAGTTTATGCATTATCTATTGACTAATCTTGATAAAAACTAATTCAAAAACTTTCTCAAATCACTATATATGGCTCAAAAATTAATAGGATTAGATATATGCATAAATAATTATGCAACATGTTCAGAATGTAATAAGTTATATGAACCTGATAAAGTATCAACAAAATTGCCTGGACAAATCCTGATATGTCTTAATTGTAATTTTGTAAAATATCCTAGTCACCCAATGTCTAAAATGAGGCAACCTTGTAATCAACAATTGGCAAAGGAGGTACCTACAAAGGAAGGAACATTATATCGTCCTTTGCTTACTTATCCAACAATTAGTATTAAACATCAGCTCAAGTTATTATACGGCCAACCTGGATTTGAAGCATCATGCAGAAAATGCGTTAATAGAAATATAAATGATAATTACCTTGCCGATATTTATGATGATAATATATAGAAAAAGTTTAAAGATCAAGATAAAGATTTCTTCACA